TCGGTCTATTATATAGTTTAAAACTTTAATCGTGAGAGAGCAAAGCCCATCGTTCCACACGACAAAAATATCCATCTATAGGCATCTCGGCTGAAAAACATCCACAGCTGGACATAGGCCTCCCTCAAAGTTCGCTACAGCAACCGGTCCTGTGCTGCCCGCATCCAACGAGTGTGGACCGCGTACCGGAAAACGCATGCGTTGGTAAGCCACAAGATCGCGGTGATGGTCGCGAGAAGCCGTTGGATCCATCCATAAAACTTGGATAGATAGTCACTTAGTAGTCTCTTTTCATAAGATGACCTGCAGTACTATTCTCTAAGGAAGAACTTGAAACTAAGTTCGTTTGAAATTCAGTCACAGCGTCGAATTTCAAACTAAGTTAATTTGAAGTTCGACGCTGTGGCAGCGCTGTACGCAAGGCCGTTTCCTTAGAGAATAGCACTGGTGTAATAACCCCCTATATCTTAATAAATTCTATCCGTGTGGATTAAGAAAACGGAGCCGACTGAGCGAGCAAACTACGCAGAACAACAGCACTGGAAAGAGAAGGAAAACTCGACACAAACCCAGTAATAGGCAAACTACGGCCCGCGGGCCATCGATCCAAAAGGAGATATTAGGAACATAAATCGATTTGTCTGAACTTCTAAAACCACACAAAAGTGAGGTGGTTAAGTTATGGTTGAAAGGGTGTGAAACTTAAAAGGAGATTCAGGACATCCTGAACATACAAGGCAAATGGGACGATTTTAAAATGATTTGCGACGAAAATTAGCTTGCCGTTTTCGCATTTTTACGGATCTCCATTCTCACCTGAATAAACTAAATACAGGGTAAGAAATAATCTTTAAAATTACAGCTAACTAAGTACAGCTGTATCGCAAATAAATGGCCTTACAGATTTTACAAAACTGACCAGTATTATACCAATCTAATATAAAAATCAAATAAATTCGATCATCAACTTAAAAGACTGCAGGAAAAATATTCCAGGAAAAATAAAGAGAAGATATTCCAAGATTTTAAGGAAATTTATGTCATAGACATTTAGAGCAAAACCCACTTGAAGCGACTAACACAAAAAAATTGGAATTTTATAACTTTTATCCATTTATCACATTATCCTAATATAATTGCTTACGTTAAAAAATAATGGTTATGTTCGTTCTCATTTGTGCGAATAACCATTTTCTTTAATAAAAATGAGGAAAAATTGTCTTTGCAAGACTTACTGATGATATTGACACTCAATAGATGGCGTTGTGTGAATGTGGTAGATTATTATATTATTATTATTATTAATACAGGGCAAGAAACAATTGTTGGATGAGTGTTGGGTGGGCTACTAAGACTAGCAGAATACCGATTCAACTTTCGTTCACAATACGATACAATCACATTACAGTCAACGTTGAATCTTTAATACGAGAATATCGTTTATGACTTTGTGAAATCGAGAGTGGATCGTATCTGAATTTCGAAGGATTTTTCATTACGTTTGTCCCCCATACTATAAAATAATGATAACCTAACCCATTTTAAATAATTATATGCTGAAATTCTACAGATACTTTGGCTCTTATCGTATCGATATTGCTTTCGGCACGTCTTGCAATTAATCAAATTGTAAACATTTAACCTGAGACATCTCGCAAAATGGCTGTCTGATCCTACTCTAGACAGAGCCTGTACTATGGTAACCAGACTACTCATAAACATACTTAAATATTTCTCTAAATATATACATAGTGTACCTACATAAATTACACCCAGATACAGAACTAATCTGATTATCATAGTACAGGCTTTGCCAAAATTGTGATCAAACGGCCGCGTCTGACGTGTGATGTGACTTGATTTAAATTTGTTCTTAGTGCTGCTAATATATTAAATAATTATGCGATGAGCAGGATCATTTGTTCTCTGTCTAGGTGAGTGGGAATTGAACCCCTTGGGTTCGAATTAAACCGACTTCCTCTTGCTCGGCTACCACCAGACTGGCTAGGTACTTAAAATCACAAGAGACAAACATTGATAATGTTAATAACCCCGAGATGAGTAATATAAGATGTTTAGATGTCCCCAGGTCATGCTTTATCAGTTGACATTCATTAGTCCATAGACAACATCTTATCATAAGGTGTTTATTGACCTATTGAACTAAGAACTACTAGAAGGGTTGGGAACAAATAAAACCACAACTGTGTTCTGATCTAGGAGCTGTAAGTCTCCTCTACAAAATTTTAACATCTGCTTATATGTATATCGCTGGTAAAAAACTATAGCGCGATGTAGCCGTTTAATACAACGCCATCTATCGGACACAATCTTCAACTTATGATCTTAATACTACTATAATATTACTTTGATTATAAACATAAGGTTTCTAGAGGGCAAGTACGATTAGTTTATAAGGAGTTCAGAATAAAAAAACAATGTGTATTATCATCGCGGGGGAGCCAAACTTCAGCACGCGATGGCTCGACCGGAGTGAAGTGGTCTTACAGAAAAGAAATGTCAAGCAATTCTTTTGTTGAGGGAGTAAGGTTCATTCGGAGGTTTTCGAGGCTAGCTTGGCATCTGGAGGTTTCCATGAGTGCTGGAAGAGCAGGAAGCTAGTCCTGTTAATGAAGTCTTGCCGGCCTGCCTATTCTGTAGCGGCCTACAGTCCCAACGTGTTGCAGGACGAGGCGGGTAAATTGTTTGAGAGGATTCTCTCCGCTCCTATCGTCCGGCACTTCTGAGAAGCGGGCACCGTTCCGAGGCAACGCCAGCGTGTGCTGGACGGCGCCTAAATAAAGGATTGTGGTTTTATTCGGTTCGATTCCGACATATCGCCCTGGTGGGGTGACGGCCCGAGGGGTTTCTACAAGTAAAAAGAGGAAAAAATGTGATCCTAACACCGAGGTTAGGAAATGAGCAGTGACCTTAAAATCAAGGAGAAACTACCAAGAGCAACTGGTGGTACTTAAGTAAAACTCATTAATAATAGAATCACAGTAAAAAAATAACAATTAAAGAAATACGAGGAAGCCTTACAGCCCTATTCTTAAATATCACTCGGCCTTTGGAAGTGGCGAGCAGTGCAACCGCCCGTGGCCTCGCTCATGCAGGGGCCTTGTGCACTTAGAGTTTAAATTGAAAATATGTTTATTTGAATTTGGCTGTTAAGCATTTTTGCCTATTTTTGCATTCTCATCGCCGATTAAGCTTTAAGTTTTATACGTTCCGATTCGTAAATTACTTAGAAATGCGTTCAAAATATTGCCTTGGTGTACCTTTTAATTTATGAGAAATTGTTGTAAAAATATTTTATTGGTAAAAGTAAGTTACACCCCACGCTTTTTTTCCGATAAAATGATTTTTCATTTTGAACTTATAGAACATTATTTTCTACTTTTTAGTTCAGCTTGTTACTAAATCGTGTTTGTTAGTTTTTTTTAAACTTTAATTTATTTTTGCTTTCTTGGTCAATAATGATGATTATTTTCTTGTTAAAACTAAAAAAATATCAAGTAAGTAAGCCACATCAGCACCCGTCTTTTAGTACGTAGCATAATACAATACCGTATTTTTAGGTATGGAAAAAGCCGTTAATCCTGAAGATCCTGATCAGGATAATCGGCTAAATTCATCAAATTATCGTATTGTCATCGGTCCTTGATAAGTGTGCGAAGTTTCAAATCAATTAGACGTCTTGAAGAGGGTGAAAATTCCGTTGAAAGATTCCGTTACATAGATACATACATACAGGTCAAGCTAATAAAGCGTGTTAAAATAGATAAAAACAATATTTGTTGTGGTGTCAAAATTTGAGCTCAATTGGTGCAGAACTTAAGAGTTTTTGAGGCGAACACAAACGAACTTAACATCTTATATATAAAATTCTCGTGTCACAATGTTAGTTACCATACTCCTCCGAAACGGTTGGACCGATTTTTATGAATTTTTGTGTGTGTCTGAGAATCGGCCAACATCTATTTTTCATACCCCAAATTTTTTTTTCAATATTTCCTAGAAATAATATATATGGCAAAACAACGTTTGCCGGGTCAGCTAGTTTTTATATAGAAACTAGCGGACCCAACAGACGTTGTCATGAACACACGTCTTAAATCCAAAAATTTCAAACTTTCTGAATAAATTTAAACAAATCTGGAGCGTTTTGATGAAAATCAAATATTTTTGAATGTTCGACACCATAATAGTAGGCCAAAACCTCCTTTCTGAAACGAGGCCTATGTCCAGCAGTGGACTATAAAAGGCTGTTGATGTGATTTGACACCGCGATCGCAGCGCTGTCCAACTCTAAAACATTCAACGACAAATTATAAAAAAAAACATATTGTAGTGGACAAATTGTAAATCTAAACCATTCTCGAATTCTCTTAAACACAGACAAAAAAAAAATTCAACTCGGTCCAACTGTTTAAGAGTTCAGTCACATACACACGCACAACAGATTAAATATCATACGATTTGTCCACGGCTTCGCTCTCGTAAATGTCAATTTTGACAATAAATTTGGCCGGGAAAAGTGTACTTACGTTTTAAGAAGTAAAAAAATAGGTGTCTAACTATTATATTATGTTATATTATACATTAAATTGAGTTTGGAATCGATAAGTTAAAAGAAAATTGTTCCCCATACAAACTTTCACCCCTTTTGAGGTTACTTTTGAATAATTAGTAACATGTTTTTTATTACTTTTAATAAAGGGAATAGTGAATTTAAAAACACTACTACAAAAATTACGAAGTTTCATATAAATTATCAACTCCCATTTTGTATCCTTAGGAATTTAAAAAAATCCTAGCTTTGTTTACACATACGTCACCTAAGGAACATTTGTGCAAAATGTCACGCTTCTAGACCCAGCGGTTTCAGCTGTCCGTTCATCGATCAATCAGTGAATTAGTCAGTCAGTTTCTTCCTTTATAGATATAGATAGATAAATGGATTTATATCTAAATATTTGTATGTTAACATCACTTACTCGGTCGAGCTCCCAAAGACAGCTAGCGCCAAAAATATAACTGTTCTAACCAACATGGTTCTCACAAAACTAAATTAATAGATTAATATTCAACCATATTTATATATCTCAGCATGATCTCTAAGAGATCAACTATTTTGTTGTTGTAAATAACGGCATAAACTCGTAGTGATGTTAGGGTTACTAGTTAACAGAAAAGCGTTCTCCATTTTTAAATGGTAACACAAACTTGTTAATACAGATTAGACTTAATAACTTCTTCAGTTTCAGGTTGATATTGAGGCCAAGAAAAAGTGATAACATTGCAAATTTAAATGAGGAAGGGTTTAAAATTTGTGGAAGATCTCTTAAAGTTAAGTAATTTTCTTTTAATTGTTCCTCCTGTGATATATATATTGTATATCCAAGACAATATGATTTCTTTTTTTCTTTAAAAGACAACTCCCGCACTAGGAATACATTCTGTGTAGCAGGGGATTTTGTATATATATATATATATATATATCTTTATATATATATATACAAAGTATAGTGAGTATGGCGGATGAGGGAGAGCTTCCAACCCCAGCTCTTGCAGCTTGGAGACTGTCTGTTGCGCAGTATGGGGTCGCGCGTTGTCGTGAAGAAGCAGTGGGGACGACCGATTGGCCAAAGCTGGTTGCAGATGTGACCACCAGACCTTGCACCTACCGACTATTACTTTTTCCAAAATTTAGAAAAGTTTTTAGTGGGTAAAAAATTCAATTCCCGAGAGGCAGTACAAAATGCCTTTGAAAAGTTTGTTGCCTCCTGTCCAGCTGATTTTTACAAGGGCATCAATAAACTGCCAATGCGTTGGCAAAGATGCGTCGATTGCATGGGTGAATAAGGTAGATAGCCCTGTTATACGGGAAACAATACATTTTTATGTTCCCGACCAATATATGCGTGCCGTTGGAAGACGACAACATAGACTCCTGTGCTGTCCGCCTACGTGGCGCTCTCCCCAGGCCGACCATAGCCCCACTGCTATAGCAATTAGGCTTATCAATGAGTTCCTTCAGTATAGTCCAGATGCAGATATATTTTTCGACTCCCAAAGCATAATTTTAAAACATATTTATACATATTTAAATTTTAAAGAGTAATTTTATAGTTCCTAAGTTGATGTAAGGTTGTTTTTGTTTACAAATTTTATGTTGTTTCTTTTTTGATGGTCTGAGTTTTAAAATTGTAATAGTATTTAGTTTATTTTTGTTAAAATTAGCATAGATATAAGCGATTTGGTGTATACTGTGATGCTTATATTTTATTAATAAAGAATTGAATTGAATTGAATTACTTCGAATAACAGAAATAAAAATTTTTGAAAAAATAAGTACTTATTACATACTTATAGCATACAAAACGGCAATTGCATAGGTACGGAAACGGACACAAACAACACCCAGACTCTGAATAACAATTTATGGATCACACAAAGTGTTTTGCCATGTGGGGATCGAATCCACACACCAAACCCAGCGCACTAGGAAGCGACCGCTAAAATCACTACGCCATTCCATGCAGTCTATTTATAAAATTCCGGCGAGCCATGGTTTTTGTATGAATTGCCATCAAAATGTACCCAAGCAAGGTAACTTTGCAGCACTCCCAGCAAACTATCAACTGGAGTTATACGAAAGCCTCACAGAAATCGGTGTTAAGGAATTCTTTACATTGCTTTTCACCTAATGAGTTAGGTTACGGAAGTCCAAAACCCTCTGATTCTGGGGGGAGATTGCAGACCCTTCCCTTTACCTAATTCTTGGGCAGTCGAAGGTCGATATTGCAGTCTTAGGAGCAGTCAGTGAGGGTGCCCAAAGATTCTTCAGTTGCCAATTAATACTAATATTATAAATGCGAAAGTGTGTCTGTCTGTATGTATATTTATCGGTCTGTCTATCTGTTACCTCTTCACGCTTAAACCGCTAACCCAATTTAGATGAAATTTGGTATTGAGATAGTTTGGGAAAACACATGGGATAGTGTTTTTATACCAGAAATCATCAGTTAAGGGGGTGAAAAGGATGGTAGAAGTTTGTTTTGGTTAATTAAGAACCGCTTAACCGGTCCTGATGAAATTGTTATCTAGATAGTTTGATTCCTGAGAAAGACGCTACTTTTTACCGATATAAGTGACATACACACGGACGGAGCCGGTGGCATAAACAGGTATTTAATATTTCTTGTATTTCCAAAGAATATCGAAAAGTATATAGTAGCAGCCCTATCATCGTCAAAACAGATACGAGTTACGCAACAGAAAGAGAGGGCACCATTTCACGTAATTAGCGCTGTGCGATTTGAATTGCACTTTATCTAGTTGAATCTAGAGTCTATATTTATTTAAAGAAATTAAATTACTCCAGACAAGTTCTGTATTAGTATTATGATCAGATTAGAATAACACCCAGCCGTAGCCGAGGAGGGGGAAAGGGGGGAGCTGGTTTACTGAATATAGTCTTATTTATCTGAATACCGGTTGATACGAATATCAAATACGCTTAGGATTAAGATAACGTTGAAAAAATCTCCCTAAAAAGATGAGATGCATTGATGGATAGTTGCCGTCAATCAATCCGGTTTTCATGGTTCCTCAGTCTGTTAAGGAAACTTAAAATCCTCCGTGGTGGGAGGCAATTGTACGTGTGGTGATGGATTATTTGTTGAGATGTTTTACTAAACCATCATCATCATCAACAGCCTTTAACAGTCCACTGCTGGACATAGGCCTCTCCTTAGAAAGGAGGTTTTGGCCTACTATACCACATTGGCCAGACGGGTTGGTATAGGGTTTGTGTCAAGTTTTCCTTCTCTCTGAAGTGCTGTTGTCCTGCGTATTTCGCTCCCTTAGTCGCCTCTTACGACACCCAAGGGATGAATAGGGGTGGTGACACTCTGTATTCGTAATCCGTCACCACACGGACAACTTATTAAAATTAGAGTTACAGAAAACCATAACTTATTAAAATTAGAGTTACAGAGTATATCAGAGACCATCACCCATCTCTGCTGGAGGACGATCAGTTCAGGACTAGCTCTTCCATTATCTGGACTTGTTCCAATGACGCCAATGACGGCATATACAGTTGGAACGATATCACCATTCACAACACATACGAGCAGCAGGATGAAGACCTGACTTAAAGCATCCGAAGAGGCTGTAGGACGATATTTGAAATCTTACTGGTATTGCACATTGTATTAACCATGTGGTGACGGATTAAGGATACGGAGTGTCACCACCCCTATTCATAACGTGGGTGACGGAGTAAACTACGCAGGATAAAAGTACTGTAAAGAGAAGGAAAATTTGTAAAACACCCTATGTCAACCCGCCTGGCCAGCGTGGTATGGTAGGCCCAAACCTCCATTCTAAATGGAGGCATATGTCCAGCAGTGGACTAGTAAAGGTTGATGATTATGAAACACTAAAATAAATATAATATTGGATTTTTGTCGTCATATCTGATACTCGATGACGCTCATCTGTTAATTCGAGTTATCAGTTTGTTCCTTATATTTAATGTTTGGTGAAATATATCTATATTTGTGGGTCGCTAGATGGCGCGCATCGATTTAAATTCAAAATTTAATAATAATAACTTCACACATCTCACAAACTAGGCAGAGCCTGTACTATGGTAACCAGACCGCTGATAAACATACTTATATATTTTTAAATACATACGTATTATAGATAAATGGCACCCAGACACAGAACAAATGACCGTGCTCATCACACAATATTTGTCCTGGGTGGGAATCGAACCCACGACCTCCAGCTTAGCAGTCAGGGCCACTAACCACTAGACCAACAGGCCCGTCAATTTGGTTTGGGTTCGAAGTAGTGTTTATAGGATGAACCTTTCCCTTCTGTGCGGAAATCCCCTCGGATTACACCCCCCAATGGCGTGGTTATGTCGCACTCGAACCGACCTAAAACCAAATTCCGTCTCGGGTCCTAGCACGACAATCCCTAGCACCCTGACGTAACTCGGGCCATCTACGGCGTGTAGAGGCCCCCCTCCAGTGTGGGTCTCGGATATACCTGTGTTTTAATTATTATCAGTCCTGATTTGTATTCTTGGATTTGCCCTGGAAGCGGGTATACAGTCTTTTTAAGTTTTTAATGGCATAAACCCAATGGAAGTTCGTAATTTTCTATGTTAGAAACACGAAGTAATAATCACAAGAGTGAAACCGCGGGTCTTGGATTTATAGTGTTTTATCGATTGCCGCGGGAAATAGGTAGTGACTTCATAAATAAAAATGGCGTGATCTCTCATAATTTGTTTGTCAGAGTTTTACATGCAATAGTCAATTGGAATGACACCACAGCCTCACAAAAAACCAGTATTAAGTAGGTTTCTCGTTGCTTTTCACTGAGTGATTGAAGTTACCGACGCGGGGTTCTTCTGATCCTGGGCGGATGGACCGTAAAAGGCGGCCACGCGATTGTGATTACATAGTTGCAGGCGTCAAGCGACGGCGGTAGTCACTTACCGTCAGGTGACCTCTATACTATATAAAAAATACGGTTAAGTGCGACTCGGACTAATGAATTTTGATTTGCCTTCGAAATATGCGTTTTTTGCGGAATAAACGGCCGTATCTTTTTAAAGTTAACTTTGAAAATATTTCTTTCTCAACTTTAAGGGACCGTAAACCTGAATAATATGGTTTTAATTTCAACTCGATACCTCCACGCGTTCCCGAGAGAAAGGGTCTTGACAGACGGACAACAAAGTGATCGTATAAAGGTTCAGTTTTTCCTTTTGAGGTACGGAACTATAAAAAGACGAGAATAAGGCGTAGTAGTATGTATGTTGAAGGACGATATATTTTTTTATATTCATAATTAATTATGCCTAATTAAAACAAGTGTTAGGGTCGATAAACTGGTTTTTAATATACATGATTACATTAACAAAGCCTCGTCGCCATCTTTTCTAGCCGTTTTTTTTAATAAAAGTTTATAAAACATTACACATGGCGGCGCCGCGTTTGATCCTAAATTAGTCAAAGCCTGTACTATGGCAACCAGACTGCTGATAAACATACTTGAATATTACCAAGTACATCCATCATATCATAATATCATAAACAGCTTTTATTAGTCCACTGCTGGACATAGGCCTCTTCTTAGAAAGCAGGTTTTGGCCTACTATACCACGCTGGCCAGACGGATTGGTATAGGGTTTGTGTCAAGTTTTCCTTCACTTTGCAGTATTGTTGTCCTGCTTAATTTACTCCCTTGGATAAATAGGGGTGGTGACTCTCCGTATTCTTAATCCGTCACCCCATGGACCATTACATACATATTATAGATAAATTATACCTTAACACAATCGATGTTCGTACTCATTACACAATCATTTGGCCTGGATAGTAATCGAACCCACGACCAACAGTCTTTCCTTCTATAGCCATCTCTTCTTATCAACCTTTCTTCTTTGATATACTCTTAAATTTTTAAACCATTAATTCTTCAAGTAATTGATGGTAATAGGGTTGTCCCTATTTAATGGAACCAATACCTGCCAAAAGTATTCTATACACTTCTGCTCACCTCTTTAGAGATACAGGCGTAACTGTATGCATGTATAAAAAGGACCACGGCTAATTCTTCACCGGGGTTTTCAGTGAAGTAAACTTTTTTTTGTTCTTTTTAAAGACAACTCCCGCATTAGGAATATATCTTGTGTCGCGGGAGACTTTACAAACATACATGAAACGGACGCAAAGAACACCCAGACTCAGAACAACAATTTGTGGATCACACGAAGTGTCGTCCCATGAACTCCCGTGTGTAGTAGGAAGCGGCGTGGCGACCGCTTAAACCACTACGCCATCCGTGCAGTCAACTGTACGTGTACAAAGTGAATCTGCCACAGTCAACACAGTTGACTGATACCATAGTCTCACATTTAATCATCATCACCATCATCAACGGTCTTTAACAGTCCACTGCTGAACATAGGCTCTCCTTAGAAAGGAGGTTTTAGCCTACTAAACCACACTGGCCAGACGGGTTGGTATAGGGTTTGTTTCAAGTCTTACTTCTCTTTGCAGTGCTGTTGTCCTGCGTAGTTTGCTCTTACGACATCCACGGGATGAATAGGGGTGGTGACACTCCGTATCCTTTATCAGACAATCAAACAGACAATCCATAGATAAATCAGTTTTAAGCCAGTCTTCAATTTTCATCGAGTGAGTAAGATTCTTGTAGCCCCCCTCCTCCCCCCCCCCCCTATTTTTACTCAAAGAGTGGCAACGGACTTCCGTCTCTTCAGTTACACCTCTAACTGAAGACCTCTCCATGGCCGGTGCTAATTACACCATCAGTTTACCTATCTACCATACCAGACCAAAACTTTAAAATTTAAAGTGTGTGTGTCCGTGTCGACGCACGACTGGAGTTTACGCGTTAAGAACGATTCGGCTGCACACAAGTATACAAGTTATACACACACATGTAAAAGGTGCGCACGATAGGTTGCGCACAAAAAACGTAACGAGGTCATTCGATCACTAAATTTTACTCTTCATATTTTTTCATACCGGGCGCCTTATATGATGATCGAACAGGGTTTAAAAAAATAAAAAAAACAGGATCGCATTTTTATATTTATGAAAATCTTTGGTTTACAATTTACTTTTAGATAATAGTCTGTTCGCCTCCCTACGTCCAGAGTCCATAGCTCCATGGACAGTAGAAAAGAGTACGTTGTCGGTAGCTTCACCAGCGAACAGCACTCGTGGGGCTCCGCTGCAGTCCACAAGGGGCTCTGCTAGGATCGCGCGGGCATTAGGGTACTGATGTGTTTGGAGGTTGTCGTACGTGAAACTTCCTCTGGTATACGGGTTTGTGTGCCAGTTTGATCTGAAAATTAAAAAAAAAACAATTTTAACGTGAACTGTCATTGCGCAATGCAGGATCGGTAGTTAGAACGTAGTTCGAATGGTTTTCGCTAGATGGCGTTTTAGTATTTTTTTTTGTTTTATATAAATGGCTGTTCATATGAAGGTGACATTATTTGGGTTTTAGTTGGCCGATCGCTTGGTTCCAACCCTCCATGGGAATGAACGAATTGGGATAAGGTAAAATAATGGGACTAGAGAGCTAACAGTGACTGTTACTGCAGTAGTTCGAAGAAATTAGGTTAAAAACAAATCTTTTTTTTCTTGTTTTTACTTCACACATTTCACACACGGACTGCTAATAACCAGACTGCTAATAAACATACTTATAAATTACTAAATACACACACATTTTAATAGATAAATTACACCTAGACACAGAACAAATGAACGTGCTCATTCCACAATTATTAGTCCTGGGTGGGAATTACCTCCACCTTAGCAGACAGAATCACTAACCATTATACCAACAGGCCTGTATAGCAACACACCGTCGACAGATACGTCGCGAATACCATCATCATAATCTCGAAGAAGTCGCGTATCTCCGACCTGGGTCTGATGGATCCGGTCAACGGGAGTGATATCACAGCCTCACAGAAAACACACAATTATTTGGTTGCTTTTCACACAGAGTGGATCGCGATTACCGGCAAACCCCCTCTCCCATCGATTACGGGGGCAGGGGCGGTTGGAAAGGCGGCAACGCCCTTGTGATTCTTGAGTTGGGTACATGAGCAGCGGAAGTCATTTACCATAAGGAGACCCGACTTTTTTTTAAATGGGACTAATCCTTCCCACACGCCCACTACTGTAACTCCTGTACACCAGGATCAACATCAGTGACCCACGAACACACCGAGTTATGACACTCGGGAAATCCCAGGAAAGCAAATAAACTGCCTTGGAACCCGCAACAAAATTAATTAGAACAAAATTGGAGGACTTGGTACACTTTTATATGGATTACCTGAAAATTATGAGGGTTATGTCATGAGGCAGTCAGTTGATCCCCTGACGTGCCCTTACTGACTGCTCGTTTGCCCCCTCCTGTGCTGGTGCCATGAAAAAATAACTTACCTAATTATGTCTATAGGTTCTGGTATATTAACTCCTTTTCCCATAAAGCGTCTGAGCAGTTCCATACACTTTCTTCTAACGAGATCCTCCGGTAAGGTTTCTACCTAAAATGTTAGATAAATCACTACATTTTTGAAATAATTGAAGCATCTCACACACGGCTGTCTGATCTTAAACTAGGCTGAGCCTCTGCTATGGAAACCAGACTGCTGATATACAATCATCCCAAGCCTTAAATAGGCCACTGCTGGACATAGCTCCCTTCTTATTTTGGTTTTGGCCTACTATACCACGCTGGTCAGACGGGTGGGTATAGGGTTTGTGTCAAGTTTTCCTTCTCTTTGCAGTGCTATTGTCCTGCGTAGTTTAGTTTAATCGGCTCTTACGACACCCAAGGGATGAATAGGGGTGGTGACACTTCGTATACTTAATCCGTTGCCACACGGTAAACATCTCACATACGGCCGGCTAAGGGCCTAGCATAAGTTTACAGAAAAAACTTCCATACAAATATTCGTCCTTTATTTTACCCCTTTAGGGGTGAAATTTCTAAAAGACCATTCTTAGTTTTTTTCACGTTCACACAACGCCATCTAGTCCCAAACTAAGCAGAGCCTACTAGACAACTGATATAAATACATATATACTTATTTTTGTTGTAAATACATACATAGAAACACCCAGACCAAATCAAACATTAAAAGTACATGCACACAAATCTTTGTCCAACCCGCGACCTTTAGAATAGCAGTCTGTTAAACAAACTACTATGCCATCGGGTCGTCGGGTTGGTAGGTGCTTATAATATATAAAACATCAGCTTCCAAATTTACAAGTTTGAAGCCCAGGCAGTTTAGTCTCTCTCTCTCTCTCTCTCTCTCTCTCTCTCTCTCTCCCTCTCCTCTCTCTCTCTCTCTCTCTCTCTCCCTCTCTCTCTCTCTCTCTCTCTCTCTCTCTCTCTCTCTCTCTCTCTCTCTCTCTCTCTCTCTCTCTCTCTCTCTCTCTCTCTCTCTCTCTCTCTCTCTCTCTCTCTCTCTCCCTCTCTCTCTAATCAATCAGTATGGGCAAGGAATTTTATATGTATGAAATAATTCATCCATACTTTTTTCCTAATAAAACTTATAATAATAAAATTTATTTACCACTTTGGCGACGTTCCCACTAGTCCACAATGTCAAAGCTCTGTCAGAACCTTTGGGGTTACTGCAGCCAAATATTTTAGTAACCCAGAAATCTTCCAGCGGTATTTTGGACCTCTCATCACCACTCCATATAAAGGCGAAGAAGGAACGGTCCTTTGGAAACCAGGCTTCTGGGAATAGCAACACTATCTTGTCCATAACTCCAATTGACATTTTATCGATAACTGTGGCCTTGGAGTCAGGTAGTGGGGGGTAAAACATCGACGCATGACTAAAAATATGATACTCTATATTAGAATTTTAAAAAAATAGAGCAAGACTCACAGAAGTCGTACCTAATAATAAAAACAAGAAGTGTGCTTTAGACCACACGACTGAAGTAAAATTTCTTGACTATGAGAGAAAGAGAGAAAGAAAATGTGTGCTCGCACCTCTCTCTCTTGCCCCTATAGTAATATACGTAACGTAACTCTCCCTCTTTCTATCTTCAATAACTTGTATCTGGCTGTCAACTTCCGTTCGCCTCGCTCGATCACACTTTTCGTAACGCTCTCGTTACCCATTCACCAGCTCTCCACTCTCCAAGTCATGCTAGCGTAAAGAAGTTTTACTTCAAAAACTTCACAATTCCACGGCCGTCTGATCCCAAACTAAGCAGATCCTGATCGGCTGGCTCTTACTGCTCTAAGTGTTGTGGGTTCGACCCCACATGGGACATCACTTTGTGTAATCCACAAATTGTTGTTCTGAGTCTGGGTGTTCTTTGTATCCGTGTCATGTATGTTTGTAAAGGAGTTGTCTTTTCAAAATAAATAAATACTTATATATTTCTAAATACATACATATTATAAATAAATTACACCCAGACACGGAACAAATTATCGTGCTCATCATACAATTATTTGTCATGGGTGGAAATCGAACCCACAAATTTCCGCTTAGCGTGCAGGAGCACTAACCTCCCACTAACTAACCACTAGACCAACATGCAAGTCGACAACAATCAACAAAGAACCCACGTCAGGCCCGGAACTGGTTCTCCTAAGTCCGTCCAGGGTTTAGGCACATATATTTTGTATCATTATAATTATTGCCTAGTCGCCGAACGGCATGATGATTTTTCTTTATGGAAGAGGAGGCAAACCGCCGCCCAAGAGCGTCTGCAACTCAGGAGTCACACGTCACACGTTGCCTTTGAGGAATGAGTACGCTCTTTTCTTGAAGGTTTAAAGGTCGTATCGGTCCGGAATTACCGCAGACCATAACTTATTCCACAGATTGGCTGTGCGAGGTAAAAGTGCCTTAAAAGTTGAAATTTACCCACAACTTTTTTTTTATGGAATAGGGGGCAACCGAGCAGACGGGTCACCGGATGGATGGTGACTACCGCAGCCCAAAAGCGTCTGCACCTCAGGAGTCACACGTCACACATGAACGCTTGCCACAAACGCGTTGCCGGCCTTTGAAGAAGGAGTAAGCTCTTTTCTTGAAGGTTTGAAGGTCGTATCGGTCCGGAAAGACCGCAGACGATAACTAGTTCCACAGGTTGGTAGTGCGAGGTAAAAGTGTCTTGAAAGCGGATAATTGGCTGCACCACTGTTGTGGAGAAAATTATCCAAGTGATGGTGATGTAAATTTTGCCGTGTGGAACGATGGCGGAAAGTTGCGGTAATAGTCTGAACAATTCCTTGGAGCAATCTCTATGATATATACGATAGAGAATGCAGAGCGAAGCTACATCTGTACGTAATGCTAAGGGATCGAGCCGATCGGAGATCTTTTGGCTATCAACAATTCGAGCCGCCGCGATGGAAACAGATGGTTGACAGGGTAAAAGGGAGTCACGATCCTCAGCACTGGAATATATCAAAACAACTCCCGCATTAGGAATATATCCTGTGTCGCGGGGGACTTTACAAACATACATGAAACGGACAAAAAGAACACCCAGACTCAGAACTACAATTTGTGGATCACACAAAGTGTCGTCCCATGTGGGGATCGAACCCACTACACTCAGCGTAGTAGTAAGTGGCGTGTCGACCGCTTAAACCACTGCGACAGTCAAATTAGATTAGAAAGAGAAGATAACTATTTATCAAGCTGTGATCTATAGATCCATTCAAAGGTTGTGTGGCAAAGATTACTTTTAGCGATAAGACCGCCTTTTGTAATAACTTCAACAGTAATCTATTTATTAATATTTGGTGTACAATAAAGAGTGTTTTTCTGTATTCACTGCACTGTACTCCTCTCCGCTGCATTCTACTCTACTCCACTCCACTTCGATCCAATGTTATATAACCCAATTCAATCGTATCTTTCCCAATCCAATTTAATGCAATCTTACCCAATACAATCTAAAACACTCTATTCTAATCCTTTAGACTCCACTCTTCTCTTCTCCACTCTACTACTTAGTTAACTTGGAAAAACTTACCATCTGTGAAACTATTACTAAACCAGTACAGCAAAAATATACCTTTCTTTCAGCACGCCCAGGGACACGGTCACAATGACATTCCTCCCCTTATAAGTGGAGCCGTCCTTGCAGGTCACCTCCACATCCTGTACCGGATCCTGGGGGTACTTGATCTTCGTGACCACCTTTTCAAATCGAATATTTAAGTTCGGATACCCTGAAGCACCTTGGTAGGTGTTCTGTAAAAAAATCAGGAAATATTAAGAACAATATTCCACATCCATCTAAGCAGCATTGCACCCACTGCTGGATAAAAGCCATCCTGGCGGTTTAGTGACATCCGGATCCATTACTCTCCTACCATCCAGTACACACTGAATTGAATTATGAATCTAAACCATTCTTGAATCCACTTGAACACACACGAAAAATTTCATCAAAATCAGTCTAGCCGTTTAGGAGGAGTTCAATAACACATACATGCACAGTAGAACTATATTTATATATATATATATATATATATATACTAGCTGAGACCCGCGGTGTTACCCGCGTTTGTTGTTATAACCGCGAGCAACGCCGCGGGGCGAAGCTAGTCTAAAAAGTAGCCTAAGTTACTCCTTATGTCATCACCTATCTGCCAGTGAAAGTCCCGTCGAAATCGGTTCAGCCGTTCCAGAGATTACCCGGAACAAACAGACAGACAGACCAAAATTGAAAAAAATGTTTTATATATATATATATATATATATATATATATATATTTAGATTTATTAACATACCAATAATACTTCAAACACAGTTTTATATCCGTTTTTATGGAAACTCAAATGTTGGTCGCCTTCTAAAGTTTTGTAATTGCCATGGGTGGTCAGATCGTCCCAGCTGTTAGTAGCATTATAGTTGTTCATAAACAAATCTATGAAATGTAGAATATTGTCTATTAAATACTTGTCGTTTAATAGCTCTGGGTACTTCGTTGCGATGTACTCCTTTAATCTGAAAAGACCGGAATTCTGGTGTATGTTGTATATTCTACTTAAAAAAAACCGGTCAGGTACGAGCCGAACTCGTGCGCTGAGAGTTCCGTTCCTACCCAGATTTTACGTAAATTTTCGCGTAAATTTGTAAGTTCCAAAATTTATCTTAAGTTTCAACTTTTTTATTTTTTTGAATTATTCCTTTATTTGTGCTGTAAGACGTTCCTTTATGCCAAATTTCGTGACTCTAGGTCAACGGGAACTACCATATAGGTTTTCGACCCAAAACCTATAGGGTACTTTAGGGTGACCTAGAATTGTCAATTTTGGTTAAAAGCAAGGTCTTACAGCACAAGTAAAAAGAAAATTCTGAAATATAAAAAAAGTTGAACATTAAGGTAAATTTTGGTACTTACAAGTTTTCGCGAAAATCGAAATTTGCCCATATCTTTTTATCGTGTTGACTCAGGACCTTGGGTTTTATACACCTAGTAGGGACCATAGACCTCAGTATCTGGTATAAATTTCAACTTGCTAGGTCTACCCGTTCCTAAGAAACACGATGGTGAGACACGAACAGACGGACAGACGGACAAGAAAGTGATCTTATAAGGGTTCCTTTTTTACCTTTTCAGGTCCGGAACCCTAAAAACTCAACTTAACTCTTGTGTAAACGGGGCCAATATATATTATGTAGATACTTATTTACAAATCGACTTGTATTCGCTAGATGGCGTTGTAAGTTACCTGTATGTTTGCCAGACTTACCTTCTCGTTAAATACTGTCCAAGCGGTTCTGGTTCCTTAGGATGGTCATCAACAGTGTTAAAGGCATATTCTACAAGGTCATTCAAGATGTCGTCTGAGCCTGTGTCAGAACGGTCAGATCTGTGGTTGATGAAAGAAATTTAGTTTTATCTCTGAAATTGTACGAAATCATGAAATATAACAGCTGAGATGATAGTCTGTTTACTAAACAGCGTTTTTTTTTCTCCAACTCCCGCATTAGGAATGTATCCTGTGTCGCGGGGGACTTTACAAACATACATGAAACGGACACAAAGAACACCCAGACTCAGAACAACAATTTGTGGATCACACAAAGTGTCGTCCCAAGTGGAGTTTGAACCCACAACACTCGGTGTAGTAGGAAGCGGCGTGGCGAAAACTTAAACCACTACGCCATCCGTAGAGTAAAAAAAAATAATTATAGTTTTTAAACGGCTTCAAAAACACAAAAAAAAAGAATCATCAAAATCGGTTCACCTAGTCAAAAATTCTGAGGTAACAAACATAAAAAAAAAATACAGTCGAATTGAGAACCTCCTCCTTTTTTTGAAGTCGGTTAAAAAGAGGAGCTTATTACTTTGACTGTATGTTTTTTTCTATGTTTGTTACTCGAAATCTCCGTCAATTATGGACCGATTGTCAAAATTCTTTTTGTAATCGAAAGGGTATACTCCCGAGGTGGTCCCATTATCACTTAATCAGGATCTGATGATCGGATTCTAGAAAAATGAAGGGGAATCCTCGAATTTTACAGGCCTGACAACGTGTTTTAGCTGGCGGACGCCGCCCCCTCGCGGCTGGCCAAACTAATGCGGGTGGAGGGGAAACCCACCCCGTCCACCCGCGGCCACACTCAGGGCGGCATGAGACTGTGATAGGCGGGCCTCCGCCGCCCGGTTCGCCGGCGGCGGATCGGGTCCGAGTGGAGGTCGTCCTCCCGGGCAGTCTCCGCCGCCTCCTTCCGCGAGATTACTACCTCGCAGAAGGTTGCGACCGCGGTAAAACAACTGTCGCTACCGGCCATGGAGCGTACTACGGCCGGTAGCGAGAGATCCACTCCGATGACTGCAGTGAGGGCCCGGCGCTGCGCCGCCCATGCGGGGCAGACCGCCAGCGTGTGCTGGGCCGAGTCCTCACTGCAGTCGCAGTGGTGGCAGGCGGGACTCAGTTCCCTCCTAGCGACCGTGTGCAGGTACTTTCCGAAGCAACCGTGCCCGGAAAGCACCTGCGTCAGCCGGAAGGAAAGGGTCCCGTGCTGCCGCCCTGCCCACTCGGCGATGACCGGCTGGAGAGCCTCCACGGCGGCGAAGCCAGCGCGTGGAGTCTCCAGCCGGAACGACCAACGAGCCATCGTGGCTCGGCGAGCGGCTTCGCGCCACTCGCGCACATCCTCGGGCGGAGGGCGAAATCCGCTCTCCGCCCGGAAGTCAGCCACTCGCCGATAAACTTCGGCGAGCACTTCCGCCTCCAAATCCCACGGGGGAGTTCCGGCCAACGCGCATGCCACCTCCGTCGACACGGTGCGGTAACCGCGTATGGCTCTGACCGCCATTACCCTCTGAGGGCGCCAGAGGCGTACCCTATTCTGGGCGGTCAGAGCCGCCGCCCACACCGGTGCACCGTACAGTGCCATTGACCGGACAACCCCCGTGTACAGCCGTCTTGTCGCGACGCTGGGTCCACCCATATTGGGCAAAAGTCGCCCTAGGGCAGACGCAGCGCCGACCAGCTTTGGAGCAAGCTGTCGGAAGTGCTCGTCGAAGAGCCACCTCCCGTCGAGGATCAGGCCCAGATATTTCATCTGGGCCCGAACCGGTACGAGGACCGAGTTGACCACGATTGAGGCGCCAGGGGGTGGACCACGACGGGGCCCATGAAATAACAGGGCCTCCGTCTTATCTAGGGCCACCCGTAAGCCCAGCGCCTCAATGCGCCCGACCACCAGGGAGACTCCCTCTGTGGCCAGGCGCGCCGCCTCTTGGAAGTTTGCCCCCCGGGCTGTCACCAGTGTATCGTCTGCGTAACAGATTACACCCAGCCCGGGGGGGAAATCGGCGCGAAGGGCCCAGTCGTACCCTATGTTCCACAAGAGGGGTCCAAGAACAGACCCCTGTGGAACACCGCACGACATGGGCCGACACCTCAAATTACCTTCTCGGTCCTCGTACACGACGGTACGCTCCTCTAAATAGTCTGCCACTAGCCGCCTCAGGTACTTTGGCACCCCATGATAGTGGAGTGCTTCCCTGATGCAGCTGAATGGCAGACTATTGAATGCGTTGGCGATGTCTAATGACACCGCCAACAGCACGCCGCCACAGCTCACGGCCTCTTCGGTCACGGCCCTCAGGCGCAACACGGCGTCGACTGTCGAACGCCCCGCCCGAAAACCAAATTGGGCGTCCGACAGATCGGGGCCCATCTCGCAGAGGTGCCGGACGATGCGGGCAGAAAGAACCCTCTCAAACAATTTGCCCGCCTCGTCCAGCAGCACGATGGGCCTATAGGCCGCGACCGAATCGGCAGGCCGTCCCGGCTTCCTCAATAGGACCAGCTTCCCGCTCTTCCAGCACTCAGGGAAGCGTCCCGACGCCAAGCTAGCGTCGAACACCTCCCCGAGGCGGTCTGCCACACGAACCCTATACCAACCCGTCTGGTCAGCATGGTATAGTAGGCCAAAACCTCCTTTCTAAGGAGAGGCCTATGTCCAGCAGTGGACTATAAAAGGCTGTGGATGGATTTGTAATATATGAGATTACAAAACATTCAGACAAAAAAAATGTTTGTTTTTAATTATTTTTATGTTTGTTACCTCAAAACTATTTCATTTGAAACTTTTATTTTATTTGGAAGTGTATATTTCCCCTTTATTTAAATTCAAATGTGAAGAAATAATACCACTCCTAGTTTTGACAAATCAAGTAATGTGGAAAACTATATGTTTTCGGGTTCAAATGTAACATCTTACTACCTTATCTAAATAAAGTAACGGACTTGTTAAATTATATTTAAAACTAGCTGAGACCCGCGGTGTTACCCGCGTTTGTTGTTATAACCACGGGCAACGCCGCGGGGCGAAGCTACTCTAAAAAAAGTAGCCTAAGTTACTCCTTATGTCATCAGCTATCTGCCTGTGAAAGTCCCGTCGAAATCGGTCCAGCCGTTCCAGAGATTACCCGGAACAAACAGACAGACAGACAGACAAAAATGGTAAAAAATGTTATTTTGGCATATGTACCTACCGTGTAAACATACATATGCATTTAGTAAAAAGCGGTTATTTTAATATTACAAACAGACACTCCAATTTTATTTATTTGTATAGAGTATAGATAATCTGACATACTACAGTTTTGTACTATACATTACGGTACGTAGTGTTTTAAATATCGTACTTATCTACCCATCACCAACACATCTTACAGTAAAAAAGGTAAAACAAATCTTTTGAAAAAAAGTTGAACCGACTTCAAAGAATACTGACAAAGAGCACTAAAAATTCGACACAAATCTAAGTAAAAAAATATATAATAAGTACCCTCAATATAACAGGTAACAATGGACTATGACTATTTCTAGTCAATCTAGCTTGGCACCGACTTCAAACAGACTACAAAGAACTATTGCTATTATTAATTAATTAAAAAAAAAAAAAAAAAAAAAAAAAAAAATGTTGCCTGTTAAATTTAGGGTACTTTTTTCATATTTTTTCGGTTCAAGTTTAAAAAAAAGGATTTATATTAATGTCTGACCGCTCCACCGTGAGAGCCCACAATAAGAAAGGTACATTACCTGAAAAATTTGAGGGTGATGTCATGAGGCAGTAAGGGCACGCTGTGTTCTACTGCTAGCTTATTGACACTATTGCCAACTTCCCCATGGACCCTGAAACAAAAAAATGGACTTCAAAAAAAGTATTGCTTACTTTATTCCTAAATTTGCTAATGTAAGGGGAGGTATATTTTTTTCAAAAGTGTATGGGGCTGGTGACTAATTGGTAACCGAGTACGTTAACACATTGCAAAGTTAAGCAATCCTAGTCAGGTCGGTCTATGGATGGGTGATCATTCTTACCACATTGAGACATCTCCGTGCCTCGGAGAGCACGTTAAGCCGTCGGTCTCGGTTGCCATACGAAGATCTGTGGCAATCTTTGCTGGTAGTTAAACCCTAAAAAGTCCCACAACAGTCTTTCTACAGAACTTCGATATCGCCCAGTACTTGGGTTGTGGAGGTCTGAGCCACGCTCCACGTAAAAGATCGAAGTTCAGACGTGTCGTAGTAGACTTAATGCTGACCTAGTATGGAAAAAAGGCTGGGAGGAAGAAGGAAGCCAGAACCATTTCTCATTCATTTATTCATGTGGTGACGGATTAATAATACGGAGTCTCACCACCCCTATTCATCAACAGCCTATAATAGTCCACTGCTGGACATAAGCCTCTCCTTGGAAAGGAGGTATTCATGGGTGTTGTAAGAGCCGACTAAGGGAGTAAACTACGCTAGACAACAGCACTGCAAATTAAAGGAAAACTAGACACAAACCCTATACCAATCCGTCTGGCCATCCTCCTTTCTAAGGAGAGTCCTATATCCAGCAGTGGACTATTAGAGACTGTTGATGTGATGTGAATACCATTTGCAGTGGAATGAAAAAGTGCTTGATCAAGGAGAATGGAAGTTTTAACGCATTGCACCGACTCCAAATAAATTTGAGAAAAGGGTAGAAATACGATGATGATACAAAGATACCGTGGAAGAGTTATGCTCGACAGGAATGATACCAGGGCCTTTTTTTTAATGGTAGAAGAGGGCAAACGAGCAGACGGGTCACCTGACACCTGCAACTCAAAAGCCATAAGTGCGTTGCCGCCCTTGGAGTCCCTCCCGCTCGAGTCAGCGGGAGGGGGAATTTGTCTCCGGTAACGTCACTCACTCCGTGAAAGGCAACGAAAGAATTGCGTAACACCGGTTTTCTGTGAGGCCGTGGTATCACTCCGGTCGAGCCGGCCCACTCGAGCCGAGGGCCATGGCTCTCCCACGGTAAAACGGCCTCACAGTAAACCGGTGTTAAGCAGCTCTTTCGCACAGAGTGCTAAGATTACCGGAGGCCCAGTCGTCCCTACCTACCTAAGGCCCGGTATCCACCTAATCAGAGAGGAGAGGAGACGAGAGATGTGTTTTGAATAACCAATCAGGTTTCGTTATTTCTACATCTCTCCGCTTAGCTTTGGTGGAAATGGATCAAGCGGAGAGGAGAGGAGATGTCTCATTTTTCTATAGAATTTTGGGCAAGCGAGCAAGCGGCGCGGCAGAGCTGATTGTGTGTAGTTGGCGGCCGGGTGGGCGCTCGCGCATGCGCCAAATTTCCCGCTGCCTTTTCCCAGCAAAGTCATGAAATTGTGGGGCATATTCGCCATGACTGTGACATTTTATATTGTTTCTTATCTAGAATCTATGTTGCAGTCCATGATTTAAATATGGCAAAATTAATCGTATTCCTTCTGTTGCGCCATAGGATTAAATGGTTCGATTGTATGGAATGTGGAGGACAGCGCCATCTAGTATCGACTAAGTACATCTATTAAGATTGTGGTTAATACGAGTAGTTGTAATCTTACAGCGCTAGATGGCGCTGCAAGTAACGCGTGTCTAATTCTGGAATATTCTTGTTGTGTGGAACGGACTATCGAATACTAGCGATCTTTCTAGTAATAAGCGGAGCGTATTGGCCGTTCGAGGCAGTTTCGTTTTACGACACAGCGAATTAACATCGGAGTGAATAGAAAGTGCGACTAACGAGATATATAGTGATTTCTGGTTTATTATAGTGAGTGTTTGTAAACACAGTGCAATAAAGTAATTAACCGACAAATTTTATTTGTTATATACCCCGCTCGTAACAGTTCAACCTCTAATTAAGCAAATTAAGATACAACTATCGTAACCACATGACGTCGTCCTTTCGAAGCTACAGTGACTTGACTGACTGGACTTGACTGGTTTCGAGCTCTCACAGCTCTCACGAGCCTCTCTGCTACACACAGCTCACTTCTCCTCTCCGCTACGCATCTCCTCTTGGTTTAAATAACTTGCTAGTTTCGCAGACCATTTCCTCTCGCCTCCTCTCCTCTCTGCTTTGGTGGATACCAGGCCTTAGGCCAGATCACTTAAAAGCTAGCAACTTTTTATTCTCGAGTTGCAGGTGTCCACGGGGGGGAGTCGATGATGAGATAGAATTAAGTGTTTCATGAGCATCTGATATCAATGCAAAGGGCAATAGCTGTAGTATATGTTGGGCCTGGTTATTCTGACTGCTAAGCCGGAGTTCATGGGTTCGATTCCATCCGAAATAGTAACATGATGAGCACCATCCTTTGTTCTGTGGCTGGGTGTATCTTTAACTGGCTTTTGCACGCGGCTCCGCTCCTTTGTCGGTTATCGTGGTAAAAAGTACCCTACGTTACTCGCTGATAATGTAGCTTTTTCATTGGTGAGAGAATTTTTAAAATCGATTAAGTGGTTTAGGCGTGAAAGCGTAACAAACAAACTCACTTTCAAATTCATGATATCTGAAGGCCAATTCTCGTAAAAATTTACCAATTTAATTTTCGGTTACAATCTATACTTACTAATATTATAAAGCTGAAGAGTTTGTTTGTTTGTTTTTTGTTTGTTTGAACGCGCTAATCTCAGGAACTACTGGTCCGATTTGAAAAATTATTTCAGTGTTAGATAGCCCATTTATCGAGGAAGGCTATAGGCTATATATCATCACGCTAAGACCAATAGGAGCTGAGCACCAATGAAGAATGTTTCAAAAACGGAGAAAATTTATTACTATTGAGAGACGCAGACGAAGTTGCGCGGGTCAGCTAGTACGATATAATCACATTACAGTCAATGTTGGATATTTAATAATTTACTACGAAAATACCTTTTATGACAGTTGTGAGATCAAAAGTTGATCGGAACTGGATTGTGAAGGAGTCGGGTCAGGTTCACGTAAATAACAAGAGATTGTGTAACTATTAAGAGATTTAATCCGCACAGTACAACGGTTACAGCACAAGTGTCTGTAGGTACTAGGGTAGTAACTACTTGTCTCGTGTATGAGGAGTAAATAAAAGAGTTCAACTCACTGTTATCACAATGTATTTGTCCAGCACACGAGAAATAAACAGAAGGTACAGTAGGTAGAAGATACAGGCACAAGCACAGCACAATTAGCAGTTTAAATAGGAAGATAGCTAGTTCAAGAATAGCACAAGAGATCACTAGATATTTACTTATATTATAAACGTGTGTATTAATGATATATATATTTTGTAAATAATATTTTAGGTGTAGAATAAGTGTAAATATTGTAAATAAATAATAATATATAATCTATGTGTTAATGTTTAGTGTATTATGTGTAAAACCTAGTAAAACTCAAATGAAAGTAGGGGGAATCCCTTCATGTCCATTAAATCGAATATCAACTGCCAACCCGCATTGCTGTTTTTATTATCTCTGGAGAACGAACGAGTGAATGTAAAAATACCATCTTAGTACTACATACAAGTTGTCATTATCGAGTATCGGTATAGAGTCCTACGAGTAAATAGTCGACTAAATGTAGTGTAAGCTAACAATTCGCCTGTCCCTATTAAGAAGGTCGGATATGCAATTTTCTTGATTTTGCTTTTATTTTACTATTGACCTAAAAAAGCAATATTTTTCAGCAGCTTTAACAAAAAGTCAATTTTTCCTCAAAGTTTTTAAAATAGCTATGTTAACAAAGTAAATTTATGTATTTATATATATATACAAAATTAAGCAATTTTAAACTTTGACGCGTCCTCCTGTAAAATTGCTGATTTGCAGATCCTATATTCTTAATAGGGATGGGCGAATTGAGACCGATATTTTATTACGAGAATTGGCCTTAACGTGTGGAAGCATATATTATCAGTGCAAACATTCCTATACAAGAATATGTGTATATATCATGTTATTGTATATATAGCAATGAATTATTTATTACTGTTGTAAGATTTCAAACGAACCAGTCCCGTGCTGCTCGCCGAGAATTTCTTTTGATTTTATGTACATATTTTTTTCTTATTATTTAATGTTAATTATGTATGTATTAAGTAATTTATAAGCACTAACTTATGTCTATGTCTGTTATCGTGGTTAAAAGTACCCTTCCTCAACAATTAAACTATCTTCCTCCCAAATTTCATATAATTGTTTCCCCATACAAATTTTCATTTATGGGGTAAAAACCATCCTATGTCCTTTCCCGGGACTCAAACTATCTCTATACCAAATTTTATCTAAATCGGTTCAGCGGTTTAAGCGTGAAGAGGTAACAGACAGACAGATAGACACACTCGCATTTATAATCTTTCTGTACAGTATGGAAGTATGGATGTTTATCAGCAGTCTGGTTACCATAGTACAGGCTCTGCCTAGTTTGGGATCAGACGGCCGTGTGTGAGATGTGTGAGGTTATTATTATTATTATATTAAACAATTTATCACCTATGAACCGTATTGGACGTGTCAAGTTTGAATTAAAATAATGATAACACGTATTTGTAAACATCTGGTTTGTTTTCACCTCTTGAATGTTCCTGATCTTTGATGTTGTTTGTTTTTGCTGATAATAATAATAATAATAATATCATTTATTTGCCATAAAACATTAGCGATTGGCAGATTGCACGTTTGGAGTAGTGGCGGTCACCACGCCGCTTCCTGCTGCTCACTGCAGGAGATGGCGGATCGGGACCGGGAGAGGTTTAGAACTCTCCCGGCCCGCCAGCAGCCTCCCGGTCGCGGAAAGACCTCCGTCCTCCATAAGCGCACGCCTGGGGGTGACAGGTGAGGCTATCTGTCACCCGCGCTGCGGAGCGATATGGAATATGGGGGTTCCCACACAGGAGAGGGTTATCTACGCGCCGCCGTAGATGGCCCGAGGTACGTCGATTTCTTTTCTAGAGACACCTGGTTCCCCGGCTACTAGTTCGAGTTCGAGTCCGACATGACCATTGGTGGGTTGTATCGTGGGTTGTATTGAGGGGATTTACGCAAAGAAAAAAAAGGAGTAACTCACCATTCCGCACCCAGTTCCACAACTCCACTGCCAAAAGGTACGGTGTTGACTCTCCCTCCGACTCTGTTCTGCGCCTCCAGAGCTAGCACTCTCTTGCCAGCCTTGCAGAGCACCGAGGCAGCGGAACAGCCTGCCGCTCCCATACCGACTATGATGGTGTCGTAAATAGCCATCGTGCTATTGAAACCAAAGCAGTTTTATTAATAAAATGCTCTAAAATAAACTTTTTACCATTCGCTCTTCAAGGAAAAGACTTAAAGAAGAAAATACACTTTAAATCAAATGCAACCGGGACCGAAGACTTAACGTGCTCTCCAAGGCACGGAGGGATTTCAATGTGTTAAGAATGTTCACCCATCCATAGACTAACCTGGCTAGAATTGCTTAACTTTTGAAATGTGTTAATCTACCTCGTTAACCACTCTTCCTCCCGGAACTACCAACATGCCAATCCTCGCAGGCAGGCGGCGCGAAACACCACTTTACCTAAGTAGATCGTTCACCTGGAGAAGTCACCCCGAAACCCTAGCAAGATTCCCTCTAAAAGTAAAACTGGTTATAGCGCTACCTACCTCAGTGTGATTTTAAACCACCCAGGGACTCATTCAAAAACACTAACTAAAATATGAAATTTACAAGAGATTTAGGAGGAATTTTAAGTTTTTTTTTTAAATAATAAAAATAATAATAAATTAATATCTTTGCCAATATACTATTTAACTAAGTTTAGAAAAAAAAATAGATTATTCTATAATACATGATTTTGTACATAGTACATTAATATTTCCGGGAAATTAGATCTATTTATATTTAAAAATCGCTATTAAAGTTTAAATTTTCTAAATCCGCGGCAAAAACGTACCCTGACGTCACACGCCAGTAACCTACTCAAGGGCAAGAAGGAATGACACAAGGCCCCGAGATCATGATCAGATCATACCATAATTGACATATGACATGCACAAAACAGTGCTGACGTGGTTATAATGTGAAATTAATTATTTTTGTTAAGATATATTAGAAAAAAAATGGCGTATAAATGGTGTGTAGTGTCATAATGTAAAAATACGTCTAAAAACTACTCCACACAAACTGTTCGTTTCTGTGGCAACGTAGCTCAAAAGACGAAAATTTTAAATTAGCAATTAGCGATAATTATATCACTTCTTTCAAAAACTATTAGAAAATACTTTTAGAAATAACTAAAACACTCAAAAAACAAAAAATGCGCACTTAAAATTGGTCGAAGGAATCCACAAACTGAGATTGTTTGTTTTGTTTACTTCAAATCTTTTATTTAATCTATGGTTCACTTTTGACACTTGTGACTATTGCGGTGTCGTCACAGACTTGTGTCCAATCATAGGTCGATCCCGTTCAAGATAAAATTAATTTTTAAAAAACCGCCAATTTGCGCCAATTAGCGTGAACTAAATTAAATTATGCTTTCCTATCCTATTATCTAATAGGATAGCCATAATTTCGAAAATATTTTCAATGTTGTCATATAGGTCTAAGATCCGGCTGCAGAATCAATGCACTCATCAAGTATGTGCTAAAAACCCAATATTACGCATATTTATGATTTGGATTTTATATCTACCAGGTTGCCTATCAAAATGTGGCCGCTAGCATTTTTACTTAAATTTTTGTTAATTAATTTTTGGGAAAACATTTCGTTCACTAGTTTTTAAGTAAAATAAGACCACTTCACGGCGCTTTCTAAGGAGAGGCCTATGTCCAGCAGTGGATTAGTAAAGGCTGTTGATGTGATGATGATATGTATGCGGAAGCTATTAGAGGGTGATCTGTGAATTGAGAACACTAGCATTCGACTTATAAAGCGTCGTATTATACTCGCAAATTGCTAATGCGCAGGAACTTTGTCACATTAAGAGCCACGTGACGTCATCCAAAATAGAAAAGTACAGCTTGCTAAAAAAGAAATGCAATTGTAAATTTAATAGGTTAATTATTAAGTTTGACAGATTTGAAATGACATTTATTGTAAGATTACATTTTACGAAAAAACTGATATTTGATGACATTTAATTAATCTCACACCTTGGAAATAGGTATCTATCTAAGAAATGAAAAATTTTTGTGTGATTTTCAATGTTTATTAGAAAAGACTTATTAGTAATATAACTATATTAATAATATAATTAGGTTAGATTTTGATTCAATTTAAAACAAAAAAAAAAACAAACAAAAACGCGTAGGTACTCGTCCCTCGCAATTCGCATCAGCCAGAATAATGCTAACGGTACAGCAGTGTCTAATGTCAATGTCAACAAAATACGTCACCAAAATGGCGGCCAGGCGCATTAGCAATTTGCGGGGATAGTACAGCTGGCAATCGCTATCCTCGTCTGACTAGTGATGTTACGCGCTAACTCTCCTTAGTAACTAAGGAGAGGTAGCGAAACAAATTTGCCGAACGGCTTGACACTAACTAAGGCTTAGTTAGTGTCAAGCCGATCGGCAAATGTTTGTATCTTATTCAAAATGTGTTCTCATGTAATTGGATATGTAATTCTTTATGAGAATAAAGTCGTAAACCCGATATAAACACCAATAGAAAAATTTAAAGAAAACTGTATTAGGACTTTTTGTTTTTCTTTATAAATCTCCTGTAACAATTATGTAGTGTGTTATTTATAAAAGTAACTATTTATTTGTATACACCTACAATTAGAAATGTAAGAAACATCGTTTAAAATGAAGAAATAACATCTAAAACAGTAGTTTTACGATTTGTTTACATTACGTCAAATAAACACCCACAGATTCACAAATATAGCCTTGAACAAAATCAATATCGTTATTTTACAGAAGTTATTAATAACTATACGAGGTCGTCCATTTTCTTATTGAAACATGTAACAAAAATGTTAGATGAACAACACACAGAAAGTTAACGCGACAATCGCTTGCGTTGGCATAGTACTAGTAAAATCATTTAGAAGGAAAATGGAAAACAGATTATACTATGTCCGCTGGTGTCAATCTATACCCGCCCATTTCTAAATGGCCGAACCTTGTGCGAAAACATTGAGACAACAAACCATTTTAAACACAACAAGATTACCTTTTAAACATGGCACAACTACATAAAAAAACAAAACTTAATGTAGACTATAGGATATAATATTTACCTTATTAATATACCCACAGATTAGATCAATTAACGAATTATATAACTTGATAACGAGATAAGGTTGTCATACTGACTTGATTGATGCACGCGTTTGTACTTCAGCAGCTATCTCACTTTACGGTCTCTTTCTGTTTTATTAGAATTGTTTTTTATTTTGAAATGTCACTCGTCAGTCATTCAGCGCCATCTATTGAAGAGATAGGAAATCATTACATTTCATCTCAGTAAAATTAATGTTTCTGTTCTTTGAGGTTGAGTTCAAAATATTGTATTAGACATCATTTCTCAAGGAGATTTTACCAATGTATTAATTGGTTTAATTAGAAACTAACTCAAAAACATGTAGGTAATAGCCGCTTTCATAGATGGCGTTGTAATTAAAATCGAGTCGAACCAGTAGAAAACGGTCATCTCTCCTTGAAGTACACCTTTTCGTGCCTTGTCCTCTTCTCCTCACTTGAGAATTCGTCAATCTGTACCGTTGGATGCTTCCATCAATCATTGATAACGATTGACGAAGTCTTGTAGCAATCGATCTGTGGAATGGAAAATTTCTTCTTATTTAATCTGCCCTAATAATAATAATAACATAACACATCTCACACACGGCCGTCTAATCCCAAACTAGGCAGAGCCTGTGCTATGGTAACCAGACTGCTGATAAACATACTTATATATTTTTAAATACATACTTATTAAAGATAAATTACACCCAGACACAGAACAAATGACCGTGCCATCACACAATATTTGTTCTGCGTGGGAATCAAACCCAGGACCTCCGGCTCAGCAGTCAGGGCCACTAACCACTGGACCAACAGGCCCGTCTAATGATTTCTAATAGCGTTAAATAACGCATACTTAGATGCTCATGACTAATCAATATGCGAGAAAACACAATAGCCTCATGAAACTGCAATACAATGTTATTGAAATGAAATTTAAGAACTTTGCGAAAACAGAAAATCAACCTCGTAGCAGTCGATAAAGGTGTATGAATGGTAAAATAAAAAAAAATGAATGAAAAAATGACTGAAAGAGAAAGAAAATGTGTGCTCGCACCTCTCTCTTGTCCCTATAGTAATATACGAAATGTAACTTTCTCTATCTTCACTAACTTATATCTCCCTCTGAACTATCCGTTCGCCTCGACCGATCACACTTTTCGTAACGCTCTCGTTACGCATCCACCAGCTCATTCCCCAAGTCAAGCGTTCGTAAAGAAGTTTTACTTCAAAAAAGCCGTGTGGTGTCGTCACCCGATAGGAACGAAGTTCCTTATGCTTTTTGACAAAGACTCCATTTATCACCAAGATATTAAAAAAAAAGTAATAATTTGCATATTTTTTTTTATATATAAACAAAAGAAGTTGATTTGCCTATGAATTACAGCCAGTCGTTTAAAGGAAAGCAGCTATTTATTTATTAATAAACTGAATGACTCGAAATCTATTGATAGTAGAGAAACAAAACTGGTGTCATTTTATTTTTCATCAAATTCTCTATAAAGCATACGCATCACGCCTCGATCTCCGATGCGTTATTCTCAAATTATTAAAAAAAAATGCGCAATGCAAGTAGACGGATTACTTTCGGTCTCTCTCGCTCTGCAGGCAGTGTGTGCAGAGCGAGAGAGATAGCGACTAACGATTTTTCGTAACGTACTCGGAAAATCACTCTCGCCACATCGTACCATAAGGAACTTCATTCTAAAATTGATAAACGTAAATTATTTTATCTTTTATTATACATACATATCTACCTGTCTAGATAACTATAGAAGTAGATAAACGGACATCTGCGCTGTCACAGGAACAGATAATGTGTTGCCATGTTATCAACAGTTACAAGTCCATTATACAAGCAATCAATCTATTGCGAAATATTATCAACCAATACTAGATCTTATCTATTAAATAAGCTTTAATATAAAGCTAATCATACTAATGAATCTAGGCAGTCTGTGCATGCAACAGACACAAATATTTTGGTTAAATCCTGCAAGAATATTTC